CCTATCCTATCCTATCCTATCCTATCCTACCCTACCCTACCCTACCCTACCCTACCCTACCGTAAAAAAACCTATTAAAGTACATAAGGAGAAAAAAGAGGAAAAAATAATTCTAGAGAATAAAGAAGGGGAAAAGAATAAAGCTTTAAAAAACACCAATTTGATTACTAAACAAGCTAAAAAATCCACACCAAAAATCCACATAAATTATAGCAAATTATAATTTTAAAAGCAAAAATAAACATTTCAATATCAGGCTATTGAAATGATATTACTTTCATCAATGTCACTGTTATCATCCCATTTTTGAACAATGAATTCAATGTAGGTCAGGAGAATCCTACTGTCTGGGTTTTTTTCTCCTTCTGGACAAAGCTAATTCAAAGGCCAAGAGCTGACAAATTTTGCTGACCAGTTTTGGGCATCTGTAATGCCCTCTTCCCAGTCATCTTTCTTTGGCCTTTTGTGGTCATGCCGAGCAGGAAGCAGAAGGTGAAGCCACTTTCTACTTCAAGGTGGAAGGACCACCTAGACCCACTTCACTTATCTGCCAAGTATGGCCTCGCTCCTTGTGAGGAAAATCCTGCTTGGCCCCAAGGCCAGGAAGTTGGTGCATGGGCACCACAGTTGGTTCCCCAAACAGACCTCCCAACAGAATCCAGATTTGCAGTAAGGGCCAAGATTTGGATGTAACTCTTTTGAACAACCACTTTGGACTGGCAGTGGATCGCCAGCTGAATGAGATGGTGGTGTGATGTGGCTGTAAAAACGGCAAAGGAAATCTCAGGCTATGTCAACAGAAGCATGGTTGCTAAATCATGGGACATCGTTGTTCTACTTTGTTTCTCATTGGTCTGATCCCACTTTACCTATTTGTAGGTAATTCTGGATAGCACCCTTTCAGGAGGATTCAAAGAAATCGGAACAGGTACAGAAAAGGACAAGAAGGAATATCAGAGAACTAGGAACTGAGCCTCTGAAGAGAAATGGAGTGAGCTGGGTATGTTTAGCCTCAAAAATGTTGACTGAACAGGGATATTGTGTCACTTTTCCCATAGCTGTCTAAATGTCACATAGGAAAAGATTCTTCCCAACAGAAGAGAGTATCTGTAGCTCAGGGTTGAACTGAGGAATTCTTGGTGCTCTCTGAGCTTGGTGGTTTGCTTGCAGACGTTTCATTACCCAACTAGGCAGTGATGATGTTACCTAGCTGGATAATGAAACATCTGCAAGCAAACCACCAAGCTCAGAGAGCACCAAAAGATCCTCTCTTGTTCCAGAATGTAGAATATGAAATAACAGATTGAAGTTAATAGAGGAGAAATTCCAAAAATTGTTCTTCCTAACTGTAAGAGTAGACAATGGAATCATTTACCCAGAAATGGTGGGCATTAGATATGCTCCAGAAGAGGCTAGAGAACTGGGAGTATAAGCTGGATTCCTGCCTTGAGCATGTGGGGGGACTCCTTGGCTCAACAGGCTGCCTCCAATTCTAGGAGCGTGTAATTCAGAACATTTCATTCTTACCCTGAGTGGGGGGACTTCCACATTTCTCCTCCATGACTTCCATATGGAGAACGCTCTGGCTGGAGTCAAGGGGCATCTCCTCCTCTTCTTCTTTCTTGGGGAACCACACAGTGCTTTCCTGAAATGACAGCAGGCCCCCCCAAATTTATTCATTCATTCATTCATTCATTCATTCATTCATTCATTCATTCATTCATACATCTATATGGCTGCCTATCCAAGGGCAGGGAAATATGATAGGCATATTTTCTGCAGAGAGGTGGAAGACAAGCATTCTTCTCCACAAGAAATCCCAGAAAGAAATGTGCAGAGAAAAAAATGGGTGCTTCATGAAGCTCCAAGAGAAGGTCCTCCAGTTCCTCCTTTGGGTGTGGGGGATGATGGTGGGGGTAGTGTCAGCATGAGATATTTTAATTTCTGAGGTTAAAGAAAGAGCCTTTTATGAAGGATTTTATTTCAAAGACGTTATGATGGGAACAGTTTCCTTACTTTGAAAAACTGAAGGTCTGCATAATTTCCCGTCCCGTCCCGTCCCGTCCCTCCCCCGCCAGAACAGCCCTGTGATGCAGGTTGTGCTGAAACTCACAACCTCACTAGGGGGTTGCTATGGCTGAGGATGGACGCTATGGCTGAGGATGGACTTCAGCCAAGGTCTCCTTGCTCCTAGTCCCTAACGATTATACTACACTGATTCTTATACTTGGGTATGTGTGTGCATGCATGCATATATGTGTAAATATTTCTTGCACAATTAGTTGTGCTGATTTCTTATGCTAAACTACATAACCCTAACCCTATACAGCATAAAAACAATAATCTATCTGCTATCTGGAGCTATAAGAGTGGGTTAAAGTTGTTTAAAAACAATAGCATAAAGCAATAATTTGTATTAATGTGCAGTGCAAGAAAAATATAATAAAAATGTATAAAACCCACTATCTACTCCCATGCTTTCATCCAATAATATATCCAAAATACCTTATTTTGGGACTGGATCTCCTAGAATTATTATTATTATTTAAATTTATATGCCACCCGACTCCCAGAATTAAATGGAAGCATGGTTTGTGGTTAAGAATTTTGGGAGATAGGATGCTAGTAAACTTGGCAGGGGTGTCTGCAGAGTGTGGTCAAAAAAGTCAAGATGGCAGCTGAGATGGTACAATCAAAGCCTTGCCTGGTTTTTATGTCTGTCACAGATGAGGAACAGCCACATAAGGAATTTCTCACAGCCTGGGAAAGAGGATAGCAGTTTGCGAAATAGTAGAGGGCCTAAACATCTGCATTTCCCTCCTATGACAGGGAAGCAGCTTCCCCACCATTTCGAGAGCACTCGGCAAGAGGATCAAGGACTCTCCACCCTAACAAACATACAGATAGACTGGATGCCAAAGCACACGCATCTGGTTTCCAGATTCTATTAACCTAAAGCTGGTTTCTAGGACTGTGAAAATCTAACCCTCTTGGTAGTTGCTAGCAATAAATATAGCAGATTCCCCATGGTGCTTGCCTTTTAATTCCCACGTTAGTTGGGCCTTCATCCCCTTGGGGAGGGAAAGGAGGAGAGGAATCCCTGCAAACGGATCATCAAGATTCCTTCCCTTACCTGAGCTGGTGGGCCAGGAGTGGCTTCTCCACCCCCCAAAAGAGACCCTTGATCCAGCAGCATTCCAACCCCTGTGAAAGAGAGAAAGGTGACGAAAACCTTTCACGAACACCTCATGACGTGGAAGTCATACAGGTCATGGTGAAAGTGGGCAGGGAGATGTTTTCCTCCCTCTCTTGAAACATGTGGACCAGAGGTCATCCAATGAAGCTGAGCTAAAGTTAATGAAGGGAAGTGCTTCTTCCCACAGCTCATCCTTAATATGTGGAATTAATTGCCACAAGGTCTGGAAGGCTTTAAAAGGGGAGAGGATAAATTCATGGAGGACAGATGTTTCAAGGGCTATGAAGCTCAAAGAACCAATGTAACCTCTGGGTTGAAATTGCAGGAGAACATTGGCAGGAGAAGGTTAGATGTCCACCTCCTCCTTGGGAGCACCCTAGAGGCATCTGTTTGGACACAACGAGAAACATAATGCTGGTCTAGGATGGATCTGGGCCCGAACAGGTAGGGCGGTTTAATTCAGTCAGGAGTTTCAGGCATTGGAAGCAGCAGCGAAGCTGGAATTTCTCCAGGGAACATCAAGAGTTCTCAGAAACTCAACCAAAGGAAACCTCTTACCTTGGAGTGTGTCCAGAATTGGCTCCTCCTCTTTGATCCTCACAGAGAGCAGTTTCTGAGAGGCACTGGGAGAATCCCTCTCCAACTTGAAGAAATCAGCCCCTATCACTGTGAGTGGATCCTGCACCTGGAACAGCCAGGATCCCACATGGGGAGAGTAGTTAGAAAGTTGCAAGAGAAGGATGGATTTTATTTTAGTTCTCCCAACTCTGTGAACTCTGTGAAACTGTAAATGATTCTTGGGGATGGTCACCTCTCAGATAACTGACTGGAGAAGGGAAGAAACCTGCCATCTGCCCAGTTCAGTAGTGGATAAATATAATAATATCCTTAAAGAGGCACCCAAATGTCTCTCTACAGAAAATCCCAGGAATGCTAGTAGCAAAATATGCTCTCTCTAAATACTTTCAAAGGATGAAGTACATTCTCACCTGTTCCTCTTCCTTCTTCATGACCTCTGTCTGGCTCAGGAGGAAGCCTTCTGCCAGAGCCACTGCCTGGGAACTGGTCCCCGGTGTACGCTGTTGGACCCATCTCTCCATCTCTGGGGGCAAGATGGCCAGGAACTGCTCCAGGACCACCAAGTCCAACATCTCAGCCTTTGTATGTTTTTCTGGCTTCAACCACTCTTGACAAAATTCATGGAGTTGGCTGCAAACCTCTCGGGGCCCCTTGGCCTCCAGATAATGGAAGTTTCTAAAACACCAGCGTGGTTTCTCTGAGCTGGTGGCTTCCTTATCCAGGACCTCCTGGCCATTTCTTTTCAAAAACTCTCCAACAATCCCAGCTTGTACTGCTTGAAGGCCTTCTCCCGTTCCTTTCTCTGCTGCATATTCAGCCTCCATTTTCTCTCTGCAGTCAAGTAAAGCTCCAAAAAGGATAAAAAGGATCTCCTGGATCTTGACTTTTTTTTTTTATGGACTGGATGAGAAGGGCATTAAAAGATCCCAGATACAACTCCCAAGACCCTGTTCTCTTTGAAATGCCATCCTACTTGGCTTACCATACATCCAGTTAAAATCAAGGGGAGGACTTCAGAGTAGATTTGTCTTCGGAGGTTCACATTTGGATAGATTTTAGTTTCTGTACTTTTGCACGGCCTTCTGTGTTCAGTCCAAGCAATAAAGGGAGATAGAATTGAAAGAAATACAAAACCCCCATGAACAAGGATTTGCTACGCACCAAAATATGCATATCCCCCCCCCTTTTTTAGGAATATTCTCTATGCTGAGTTTTCATTTTCAACAATCTAGGCAAAGAAAACTCACATTAAAAACTTACAAATGGGGGACTAGGAGGATTGATTGATTATGTACCATCAAGTCACCTTTGGCTCCTAGCAATGGTTTCATATGCGGGTCCCTTCAAGGACAATTGGACCCATCTTTTGTCTAAGAATCACAAAGTGGCACATGAGTCCTATTCCACCAATGGTGCCCTCACAACAACCCTGTGACATGGTAAGGTGGAGACCTAAAGTCCTGTAGCAGCTTACAAAGCCCAATGAATTATGTTATGTCAGGCTTTCCATTCAAAATTTGTACCTCTCCAGGGAATAAGTGCAAAGTATTTTAGGATGCAGTTATGCCAGTTCACAGATGGGACCCCCAGAATTTCACGTGTTCTGCCCTGAGCAGGAAAGATCAAACAGAAGAAGCACCAGAATTATTCTTTGCAATGCCCTTCTGGCCTTCTGGGGAGGAAAAAAAACACTAAAACAATTTTATTCCTTTGTACTTTCAGTCTGAATTCACTCTTTTGGGTGCCCATCTCATGGGATTCTTTGGGATTTAAAAAACTCTGAAGCTGTTTTGTCTTTATCCTTGGTTTGTGCTAGGTTAAGTCTTTGTCGTGAAATAGGTTAGAATAATTGCAAAGGAAAGAGACAGAAAGGAAAGAGGAGTAAGAGAGGTGGAAGGAGAAAGACAGGAAGAAAGAGAGAAAAAGGAAGAAAGGAAAAAGAAAGAAATGGAGAGAGAGGAAGAGAAAGGGAAAGAAAAAAAGGAAGTGAAATAAAGATTAGGAAAGAGAGGGAAATAGGTAAGGAAAGGAAAGAGGGAAATAGAAAGAAATGGAGAAAGAGAAAAAGAGAAAAGGAGAAAGCCAAAGAGAAAAAGAAAGTGAAAGAGACACACACAGAGAAAGAAACAGAGCAAAGGAAAAAGGAAGAGAGAAAGGGAAAGAAAGACGAAGTGGAAGAGAGAAAGTGAAAGAGAAACTGAAAAAAATGGAAAAGAGAGAGAAAATAGGAAACAAGGAAGGAAAGAAAGAGGGAAAGAGAAAGCAAGGAAAAGAGAAAACAAAGGGAAAACAAAGAAATGGAAAAGGAGAGAAAGAAAAAAGGGAAAGAGAAGGACGTGAACGGAGAGAGGGAAGAACAAGAAAGAGAGGGAAGGAGAAAGGAAGAAAAGGAGGGAGGAAAAGAGGAAGGAGGAAGGAAGAGAGAGAAGGACGAAGAGAAGCGCTGCAAGGAAGTTGGGAACTTCCCCTTCGCCTCGCCCCACGCTCCCAAGCCGCCTCTCGCAAGGGGCCCTGCGGAACTCCGAGGACTACACGCCCCGGCATCCCCCGCGACGAGCCCTCCCGCCAGCCGGGCGCCGGGAACCCCGGGCAGCCTCGCCCCCTCCCCCCTCCGGCGCCTCCCCCTGCGGCCCCGCCCTCCGGCTCGCAGGGCAGGCGGCCGGGGGCGCGGAGAGGGCTCTGCCCCGCAGCTGGGGAGCGGGGCA